TCCGAGGACAGGGCGGCAATGGAGAGGGCCCCCATGGGGAAGCCACAGCCCACATCCTGGTCTCACAGGCGAGGGGCTGGACACAGTGTCCTCGAAGGCTGGCTTCTGAAGGCCAGGGCCACAGAACGGGATCCCAGACCCGAGGAAGCTTCACAGTGTTCCAGAGCGGGCTGGAGCAGCAACAGGCAGCTTCCCGTCCACAGGGAAGGGACACAAAGTTAGAGCCAGAAAGCTCAGCCTCTGAGCCCTTCCGGTCCCCAGCAGTGGGGAGGCCCAAGTGCGGGTGCAGGGGCAGGTTCCTGCCCTGATGGGTGCACCAGGGCACAGTGACACCCAGCCCCGGGGCCTCACAGAATCAGAGGCATCAGCACCTGCCACTGCCACAGTGGCAGAGAAATCAGAGTGGACAGGCGAAGTCCCCGAGGCAGGCCAGGCCGGCACGGGGTTCATCTTCACGACAGGACGGGACTGAGCTGGCAGGCACAAGCCGTCACACTGATGCCAACACCTTGCCAGTCTCCAGGCCCTTCGAGGAGCCCGAGGGGGTGCCTGCGTCAGGCCCACTTAATTTCCGCCCACAGCCATGACCGGTGGCAGACAGGAGTGGAGGACAGGCTGGGTCTTGGCTCTGGCGGGGTTCCTATCCTCTGGCTCCTCAGGAAAAAACACCCCAAAGAGACAGGTCTTGGCGAACCCTGTGTTTGGGGGGGCCGGAGATGAGACACAAGGGACCATGCCCTTCCCTGTCACTGGCCGGAAGGGAACGGATACCCCACTCCTGCACCAGACGAGAAGGAAGCCCCCAAAGGGTGGGGGTGTGACCGTTACAACACAAACGTCCACTGGGGTCCACTGCGTGACCAGGTGGTGGGGGCCCTGAGCTGAGCGGAGTCCTCTTCCCCACCCTCACCCCAGGGCAACTCTGCCTTCGGGGAGGTCAGCCAGGAGGATGCACTGGGCCTGGACCCTGACGGCAGGGGGAACCCTGGGGCCCCGAGCCTGTGGGCGCAGCCGTGGCGGTGACCAGGGTCGGGCAGGTGTGATCCTAGGCAACAGCAGTTACACCCGGGCCCCGGCACCTCCAGGGCACAGGGCCAGACTGCCTGGCGGCTCCTTCCTACCCCGTCCCTTCCCTGCCTGCTCCAGGCCCCCCACCTGCCCTCCTGGCAGCCCCTCTGCACCCCGAAGTTGGCTCTTCACTCCCGACCTGGGAGCATCAGCCGGGCACATGGCTGAGCACCCACTGTGTGTAGGGCTGGGAGGGGACCCGAGTGGCACCCAGTGGGCACAGAACAAACCCCTGCAGCCAGGGACAGCTGGGAACCCTGCGCTGGTGGACAGGGCCACATCCCTTGTCCGCCAGGCAGGCAGTGCCCACAGTGGTGAGAAGGGAGATGGGAGCCCCGAGTTCCCCACCCTGACAGCGACTGGGGACAGGCGGGTGCTACCTGACCTCACCCAGAACCCTGCAGCCGCCTAGCTGCATCTGTCCTGAGGGGGCCAGGAGGGTGGGAAGAGGGATTCTGTGATCCATTGTTCATTCAGTGAATGTTTACTAAGCAAGTACTACATGCCAAGGGTTGTGCCAGATTCTGGGAAAGCAGGAGAGAACAAAACAGGCAAAAACCCCTGCCCTGGTAGACCATAAACTTGACAAATAAAACTGGGTGAGTCCAGCACTATAAAATGACAGAGCAGGGCCCAGGAGGCAGTGATCGGCTGGAGAGGGGGCTGGTATGGACGGGTGGCCAAACGGGCCTCTCTGAAAAGGGGACACCTGAGTGTCCAAGGATGTGAGCCCCACGGATATCATGGAAGAGCTTCCAGCACAGCCAGTGCAAAGGCCCTGAGGCCTGGTGATTTCCAGAACGAGGAAGCTGGCATGGCTGCAGCAGAAATAAGAGAATGGGGGGCATCAGTAAGGACACTGTGGACCCTGTGGGGGCCCCACAGGCCAATGCTCCCAACCCCACTCCCACTCCCTCCCATGCAGAAGCCTCAGAGATCCAGATGGGCCTGAGGCCCAGTGCCAGTGTGAAGGTTCTCCTAAGCTGGGCCACCTGGCACCTGCCATCCCCAGCCAACCACAGGAGCCCAGGAGAGGCACTGTCACCCTCGGCACTCAGGCAGAGAAGCAGCTGGAAGCCTCACCAGCAGCCTGGCTCCGCTGACTCTGGAATCTCAGGGGGCCCAGGACACAGTGAGACCAGGCCTGAGCCCAGCTCCTTCCTGTCCCACGGGGCACCAGCCTGGGTGTGCCAGGTGCACCAGATTCCCCCACCAGTGACCCTGAGTCCTTCCTGTCACACATGCACCAGATGTGGCGCAGCCTGGTGATGGGGGACCATCTGCTGCCCCCAGCTGTGTAGCCTCTGACCTCCGCTGGGCGCCTGTATCCCTGGACAGCCAGGGAGGTGACCTGACCAAGCCCACACAGCCGAGGCTGGCAAATAGGGCCTGGTCAGCAGGAGGCACCACACATGCTCCCCACCCACACCACCAGCTCCCGTCACCCTACAAGGACCAGGACGGGACACGGCTGCCTCCACGTGACCCGAGGTGGCCCCTAGCATTCCTGACCTCACTTTTCCTGGTCTGTGAAATGGGAGCCCTAGCACAGGTAAACTGAGGTTCAGAGTAGGCCCCAGAGGTGGAACCAGTGCAGGGATAGAGTCCAGCTCCAGCCCCGGCAAGTGCCCACATGGCCTGCAGGACGTGCCAAGAACCCTGCCAGCTCCACCCTTCCCCCGCCACCTGCCTCACCTTCTGCAGTGTCCCGGTCACCTCATCTCCTGCCTGGCAGGTCAGATCCAGGGCCAGCCAAGAGGACACCCCTGCTTCCCAGTCCAGCCCCGGCCTCAGGGAGGAGGGGCCCAGGCCAAAGGCAGATGGCCCCTGCATGTGCACACACACGCACACTCATACACACACGCATCCCGCCCTGATGCCTCCAGACCCTGTCACTGCCCTCTGGCTGCTTGAGCCAGGCCGGCACGCTCCCATGGCCTTGTCCCTGAGTCCTGATACCAAGAGCCCAAGTGCCTTTCCCAGGGCCACATGGCCACAGTGGCCGTGAACACTCGAGAGCCTGACAGCCTCTGTGATGAGAGCCAGGTAGCGAAGTGACAGCCCTGGCCCGGCCCCATCACACCTGGCTGCACATCTCAGCCTCAGTTCCCCCTCCTGTCAAATGGGGATGAAAACACCCAGCAGGGCTGTCACCGGAGCTGGCGATGGTGGTGGCACAGGCAGGGACCACAGGACAGTCCCGAGCATGAGTGGGCGAGGCCTGGGGCTGATGGGGGCTGGGTGTCTCTGTTTCCTTTTTCTTTTCTGTCTTCCTTTTTTTTTTTTGAGATGGAGTCGGGCTAAATTACTAAACTTTCCAGCTGAGCTCAAACCTGAGATCCTCCTGCCTCAGCCTCCCAGAGTGCTGGGATCACAAGTGTGCACCTCATGCCTATGCCTCTTGGACTGCCTTTAACCCCGGTTCCAATGGCCCAGGTCATCACAGGCCCCTTCCAGGGGTTTCCTGGGAGCTTCCCAACCCAGAGGACAAAGACCAGTCGCTGTCCCAGCTCAGCTCGTTGACCCAACTATAAAATGGTCATAATTACACCCTTTGGAGAGACACAGGGCCCAGCTGAGGGGGCCCCGGGACCTGCGTGGCACCCCTCTGACGTGCATCCCCAGCGCCCGTGCTCCCCCCTCTGTGCCCCTCCAAGCTGCCTGTAGATGGTCTACACTTCAGAGGACAAATCGATCCAATATACAGCAAAGACAACTTTAATCTTTGCAGGGATTAGTACAAGGCCTCTTTCTACCCGCCGCTCAATTCTGATTTCAACCCGGCCAGCTGCAGCACGGCGTTCTCTCCGCTCTTGCCAGCTCAGCCACCCCCAAATCAAAGCCCCTCCAGCGGGTGGAGGCGGGGACCCAGCGGCTCCCGCACAGGGACAGCCCAGCCAGCCCCAGGCCGCTCACTGTGACTCGGTGGCACAGGGAGGCCTGGGGAACACGGGGCCAAGGGACAGGGCAGGCTGCGGGGCAGCAGGACACAAGCTGAGAGCTGCTCTCCAGGCCATGCGATCCCCAGCTCTCCTGAGCAGGCCGCGCTCCTCCCTGACCCCCCAGTGCCTGATTAGATGGTTGTTGGCCCGTGAGGGGCAGTGGGTGCCAGGCATCAGGAAGTCCCGGGGAGGCCTTCTGGGTCCCCTACGGTGACTGCACACAGCTAGGACTGGGCCTCCGTTCCTCCCCTGCCAGCATTTCTGTCCCCAGGCCCTATAGATGACGGTGGGGGGAAAGGCATGGCAGTGCAGGGCAGGGGCGGAGGGAGGGACACGGGCTCTGCTGGGGACAGGAGCAGGGGCTGCGCTCCAGCTGCTTCTCGGTGGGACGGGTCCGGCCTGTCCTCCATGCCTCTGACACCCGCTCCCCACCACCCACCACGGGCTGCCAGCACCCAAGCACCTTCCCGGAACAATTAAAGGACTTACGGGGATTTGCGGCTAGGTGATACCCGCAGAGCGCCACCCCTGCCAGCCTTGGAGAAGCAGTTAGAGTCCCAACCCGAGGTGCAGCGCACCCTGGAGCCAGTTGGGGGCTCTGCAGGAACAGAGCTACCCTCCCTGCCCGCCAGCCGGCACCCCAGGATGCCTGAGCCACAGCCCACACCAGCACGACCCAGCCACACTCAAGGCACCACCCACAGCCCCTGCCTCCTGGCCCAAGACAGCTTGGCTTTGGGGGCTCCCCCGTCCCCTCCCACCAACGACCCATCCCTGAGAGCCAGCCCTGGGACCCGGGCCACGCACACCCCCTTCCGTCCTCCCGAGGGTTCCCACGGGAGACACAGGCACGGGCAATCCTCGTACCTGCCTCCACATCTGCAAAGCGCACTGCAGCCCCACGCGGGTCACCCAGGGCCAGACCTGGCACCCAGACGCTGCACTGAGCCCCAGAGCTTGCCAGGGCCACGCCCTGCGCCCCCCACTCACCATCCTCGCGGGACTTCTGGATGAAGGCCTCCACCCCGCTCTCGCCATAGCTGCCCTCCGAGGCCAGCGTGGACACGTAGTTCCACTTGAGGGCGCGGACAATGTCCACCATGGCCTGGGCCTGGTACGTGTCCGAGGGCACCACACGCGAGAAGAAGTCGTAGCGGCTGTTGTCGCTCAGGTCGGGGGCCGTGGAGGCGTAGCTGATCTGGGGGATCTGAGGGGAAAGGGGAGGCTGAGGGGGGCAGCCAGCACCGCACACTGCTGCACCCCACCTCGCCGGCCGAGCAGGCATGGGATGGCCCGGCCCAGCCCACCCGGGACACGGGCTCCCCTCGTGGCATAACAGAGCAGCAAAGGGGACCCGAATGGGGCACAGATAGGGCCCTGGGCCAAGCGGGCTGCATGGCTGACCTGGGGCTCCCACGTCACCCACTGCCCGGCCCGTCCACACTACAGAGTGAGGGCGGCCTTGGACTAACCCTTGGACTAACGGTTCCAGACCCCTTTCTCTGTGTGTGTCTCTCTCTGTCTCTGTCACTGTGTGTCCCTAACTCTCTGTCTCTCTGTCTTTCTGTCTCTATCACCGTCTGTGTCTCTCTTTATCTCTGTCTATCTCTCTCTCCCTCTGCATCTGGGCGCCTCCACTTCTGTACAGAACTGGAAGACCACAGCCCAGGCGGGTGAAATGGCTCAGCCAGCAGTTGGAGGCGTGGTATTAGAGGGGGTCATCTGCCCATCCCCTGTCACTACGAAGCCATCCCTGTGCCCACAGCCCCCTCTGGGCTTGGGCTTCTTCTTCCTACGCAACTCAAAGGAGACCAAACAGAAACTGCCGCTCTCCCTGCCGACCTAGCCCTAGCAGGGAAGCCCAGTGGCCCGGGCAGGGCAGCCTCGAAGTCCTTCCTCTCCACAGCCTGGATGCAGGCCTGGTGGCAGGGTGCAGACAAGGCTCCTGTCCCCAGCACGAGGTCCCCCAACCACAGAGTACCCTCCTGCCCCATCTCTACCTGGGCTCTCCAAAGCGAGGGTGCAACTCAGGGACCCTGTAGTCACGGCTGGCCATCCCAAAGGACGTTGCTCCCTACCCCGTACCGCCCAGAGCAGCCCCAGCTCCCCAAGGGCCCCACCGCTTGCCCCTGGGCCAGCCAGGCTCTGCCCCTTCTCCTCTGACCACACGACATTTGTGCTTCCTGGCACAAATCTCCTCCCAGAAACGGGGTGCTGCAGCTAACAGGCGAGGCTGTGGGGGCTGCAGGGCACTGGCAGAGGCCTCGGGGAAGCAGCCCCCACCTTTGTTCAGCTCCCAGGCTCCCCCAGGACCCTGGAGCTGGCAGCTGGCAGCTGGCCAGCAGGCCCAGCGGCACAGTGGAGAGCCGTGGGCACTGGACCCGGGGCCGAGGCAGACTGAGGAACCTGGGGCGACTCCCCGCAGTGGGGATGGGTCACGAGTTACACAGAGGCCTGGGGACTGTTGGCTCGGGCTTGGAGGTGAGTCCCAAGGGGAGGCTGAGGCAGGACAGACAGACAGGCAAGCAGGTCCCTGGAGGAGTCTGAGGTGCCAGGGCACTGAGTGAGGTGGCCTGGTGGCCACAGGAGCCGTGGGCTGGCAGCAGGCAGGCGTGGGGGACAGTGGAGCCGGAGGCCACTATGCCTCGGAAGCTGTGGCCACTGAGGACAATGGCACGGGGACAACGGCCAGGGAGACTGAGGAAGGGAGGGACGAAGGCCAGGGACGGAGGGGACCTCAGAGGAAGGACCCCGCAGATGGGAGGGAAACGCGGGTGCAGGGAGCCGAGAAGGGGGCCAGGCAGGGCCGAGGCTGACAAGCCAGGGGGAGGGGGGCACACAGAGGGGGCCTGTGGGGTGGGAGAGGAGACGGCAGTGTGAGGCGGGAGGCCAGGGTGCAGCACAGGGAGCAGGACACAGCGGAGGGGTGCAGGGGTCCACTGTCCTCTGGGACCCCACCCCACCAGGCCACAGCTGGCACAGAGCTCCGAGGAGCTGGGCAGCCTGGCACACCCACCGCCTCCACACCAGTCCCAGGGACCGGGGAGGTGGGACGGCCCAGCCAGGGGACATGGGGTCTCCTCCAGGGCCGCACTCAGGGGGCCTGACTCCACCAACAGCCACCTTCCCCATGTTCACGGAGCCGCCAAGGGACGTGGGCCACGTCCCCTCACACTGGGGTTCACACAGGCGCCCCCAAAGGAACCCCATGGCCCTTGCACCTCAGCTGCTCCTTCAGCCACCAGCTCCCCACCACACACACACTCAGGGTCCCCCGCATCCCCTCCAGAGCCCTGGTGACAGTCAGCAGGGATTCACTGAGCACCTCCCGGAGCGTTGGTGCAGGGGTTCTCAAGAAGAAAGCGTCTCGGCCAAAGGCCCAAAGGGGGTGCTGCTGCTCCTGGTCACAGCCGCCCCCTCGGTCCGCCTGGGGAGGAAATGCGCAGTCCTAGGGCCATCACATGTGACTGCAGGTCCCCCTCCTCTACCACTGGGTCCCCAGGAGACGAGGCTCATGGGTCCCGACCTCAGCACCCAACGGGCTTGGGCAGGACCCACAGCACACACACGCAGCCGGCACCGCAGCCTCCGGGGTGTTCACACTGCCCCGAGGGACTGTAGACTCCTGAACGCTTCTGAGCGCATAGGCACCCTGCAAAGCAGGTCTTCTGCATGAAACTGAGGCCCAGAGAGGCCGAGCAACTTGCCCGGGGTCACTCAGATGGTGAGTGGCTGAGCCGGAATGGAATCCAGGAGACGCATATGGGATCCGAGGGTGAGGGCGGGGCTGTGGTCCCTGGTCACCAGCAGCCACTTGCGTCTCCTGTGGGGCAGATCCCTGGGCCCAGCAGCCTTTCCATCCGTCACCCCAACACAAAGGGCAGGGCAGGGGTGAGGGCCAGGCCCCTGGAGGGTTGTGTAAATGGCTTTGCTTCGAGGAACAGCTCCTTTCTAAGCATAATTATTAATTACATGCTTATCATATGCAACCTCTGTCTCTCCAAGATGAAACTGATTTAATTAGAAATTCCGTCATCGAGCCTTTCAGATCCGAGCTTTTCATTAGGATCCAGCAGCCGCCACGGCACAAGGGCCCCTGCCTCCCTGACTGCCGAGGCCACGCGGCCTGGGGTGGGGTGTGTGGCACCTCCCTCACCCCGCGCCCCTGGCCAGGTCGTGCCCCTCGCTGGCACCCTGCCAGCCCCACTCAATGGCAGGGCCCCCTCCGCCCTGGTCACAAGCAGCCTCTCTTTGGTCTTGGAAATGGCCAGGGCAGTGCCACCATGTTCTGCCACAGGAATGGGGCGTTTACAGCGCACAGGAGACAGAGATGAAATGGGCTGCCCCCTCTGACAGTCAGGGTGGGCTTCAGGCTCGCACAAGTGAATGCCTGTCATGATCACACGCGGGCCCTCTGATGCCCCCTGCCACACCAGCCCCTGCCCTGCCCCCCTGCACCCCGCAGCTCCGTCACTTCCTAAGGCACTGTCCCCACCACTGACTCCACCCCAGCTCCCCTGAGACGTCCGAGGAGGCCTTTGGGAGTCTGAGCCTCCCCTGTGTCCTCAGATGCCTGGACTGGGGGCCGGCACCCAGCAGTGGGAGGGGACACTCCCGTCCCTGCCGACAGGACAAGCACCTCAGTGCTGCAGGCAACTTAAACGGAAGGGAAACCGAGGCTGCTCGCCGAGAACCGACAGGAGCTGGTCAGCTCTGAGCTGAGGTGGACGGGGCCGGACACTATGGGGGGCCAGCAGCAGGTGGGACTCTGAAATCTCCCCTTCCTCCAGGTCCTGCTGTCCCTCGCCATCCGGGGCCCTGCTGCACTGACTCCCTGAGATGTCCACGGAACCCCTGAAGGAGGCGTTGGGGTCTGACCCAGGCCACCTCTGTGCCCCGCCCTGGACACACCGGCCCGGCATCAGGGTGACCAGCGATATCCGGATTGAGTTACTGGCCTGCTCTGAATTACGCTACCCAGGAGAGAACCAGACAGCTGCCCCGCCCCCCGCCCCACCGCCAGGAGGGTGCTTTACTCAGTCCTCGCCTGGCCCTTTTTAACCTCTTTTGTGCCTTGGCCTGGGAAACCCGCACAGCCAAGGCTGCAGGAGGACAGAGCGCAGGACAAAGGGCAGCCGCTGTAAGCCCGGCAGCAGAGGCCGGGGCGGGCGGGGGCATTCGCACAACAAGAGCGAGCATACGAGGCTACTTCATCAGCGAGATGTGGATCAATAACCGACACTCTCCCATCGCAGGTTTCCCATGCTGACTCTGGCACCTTGTCAAGAGTGGGAACTCAGGCGGGACAGGGCAGCAGGGGGCAGGAGGGGCCCAAGGCCTGGTAGGAAGTGGGGACCAAGCCCCAGCCCCACAGCCCAGTCCTGCAGCCCTGGTCCACAGAGGCCTTGACGCCCAGGTTCCCAGGGGTGAGGAACAGGGCTGTGATTTCAGGCTCCCGTCGCCTCACCTGTCAAGGGGGCACCTTGGCAGGGATCTGGGCATTGCCAAGTTCCCTGAGAGGGCCCCATGGCAGAATGCTGATAAAGAGCCTTTGAGGAGGGGGAGAAGCCACCACTGCCCTGTCACACTCACAGCAGGCAGCAGTATTAGCAGGTGTCACCTGACTGCTGGTCCTCACCACTCTGGACAGGCGCAAGGCGGCCCCTCCAAGCAAGAGACCATCAGGGCGGCTTCAGGACCATGGAGCAAGCTTGTGGGGAGCTGGGCAGCAGGAGCAGGCCACGAGCTTGGCGAGGAGGGATTTGAACCCACATCTGTGTGGCTCCACCCAGCTCCCCACCTGGCATCATCGCAGCCCAGAAGCTGCTGCAGGAACAGGGTCCTTGCTCCTGAACCTGCCCACCCCTCCCCAGGCCTTGGTTTCTCCAGCTGTTTGGAGGGCCCGGCTCCCAGGAAGGGGCTTGTGGGAGGGGGTGGCCTCCAGAGCCCCTCCTACAAACCCAGCTGCCCGCTGCAGGCGCCCGAGTGCTGCCACCCAGCTCAGGGCTGGCCAGGCGGGGCCCTGGAGGATGAATGGTAGCCCGCCGGCTGCTGCGTGTATTAATGTGCGGTGCGGTGATGTTCTGTTCGGCACTGTGTTAATAGCAGATGATATAATGGGATGGGTTAACGTTACTGAACACACAAGCCGATAAAAGTCACATCGCTGTCACACTGTGATTTATTTCACAGCCAGGCCAAGCCCGG